GGCCCAGAGAGAGCAAGTGACTTGTCCAAATAAATAAAAGGGTCTGATCAAGAACAGAGCTCAGATTCCTCACTCACACTATAAGGACCCCTTTGAGAGTACGAAATTTGGTCTTTCACCCCGCCCCCCCCCCCCATTGTTTCTTGAGTGTAAATAATAACAGTAACAGTAACAACAGCCAATATTGAGCATTTCTGGGGCAGGCACTTTATTAAGCCCAGCTGTGGATTACCTTATTCAATACTCACAATTACCCTAAGACCATGGTCAGCAAACCGCGGCTCTTTGGCCCCTTCAGTGTGGCTCTTCCACAAAATACCACGTGCGGGCGCGCACATACAGTGCGATGGAAATTTCGTGGCTCATGTGCAGAAGTCGGTATTTTGTGGAAGAGCCACACTAAGGGGCCAAAGAGCTGCATGTGGCTCGCAAGCCGCAGTTTGCCGAGCTGCAGTTTGCCGACCACTGCCCTAAGACATCATTTCTATTATATGCTTAAACATTTACTAAATTCCTCCCAACTGTGCTTGTTAATGGAGGAGAGAGGCAAATCCTATCTAATAAAAGAGAAACATGGTAATTAGCGTACATCCGCTACACTTCCCATTGGCTAATCAGCGAGATATGCAAATTAACTGCCAGCTAAGATGGCAGCCGGCAGCCAGGCAGCTTGAAGCTAACATGAGGCTTGCTTGCTTCAGTGACAGAGGAAACCAACGTTCCCCGCCTGCCTTGCTGGCCTCTGAGCGTGTAGTTTGAAACATTGTTACAAATATAGAAGCTAAACAAAACCCCAGAAACCTGCTTTCAGCCCACCGGGATCTCAGAGCTGGAGTTGATGCAGTGTTTCGATTATAGAACCCAAACAAACCAGACACCTGCTTTCAGCAGCAGAGGCCTCAGAGCTGGAGCCAGAGCTAAAGCTGGCCCAGAATTTAAAAAAAAAAGGAAAAAAGGAGCAGTTGGGAGCTTCAGTCACCTGCCAGCCTGAAAACAGTCCTCAGCCCCTCACCCAGACTGGCCAGGCACCCCAGTGGGGACCCCCACCCTGAAGGGTGTGTGACCAGCTGCAAACAGCCATCAGCCCCTCACCCAGGCTGGCCAGGCACCCCAGTGGGGATCCCCACCCTGATCCAGGACACCCTTCAGGGCAAACCAGCCGGCCCCCACCCATGCACCAAGCCTTTATCCTTTATAGTAAAAGGGTAATATGCCTTCCAGCACCGGGATCAGTGTGACAGGGGGCAGCGCCCAAACCCCCTGATCACCCTGCGGCTCTGTGTGTGACAGGTGGCGGGGCCACAACCTCCCTATCCGCCCTGCTCTGTTCGTGACAGGGGAAGGCGCCCCAACCCCCTGATCAGCCCTGCTCTGTGCCTGATAGGGGGGAGCTCCCCAACCCCCTGATCGCCCCGCGGCTCTGTGTGACAGGGTGTGGCGCCCCAACCCCCTGATCGGCCCTGCTCTGTGGGTGATAGAGGGCGGTGCCCCAACCCCCCCTCCACGGGCCCTGCTCTGTGTGTGATGGGGTAGAGCCATAACTTCCCCATTGGCCCTGCCCTGAGTGTGACAGTGGCGGCGCCCCAACCCCCTGTCGGCCCTGCTCTGTGGGTGAGGGCGGTGCCCCAACCCCCTGATCCACCCTGCTCTGTGTGTGACAGGGGGGAGCTCCCCAACCCCCTGATGGGCCCTGCTCTGTGAGTGACAGAGGGCAGCACCCCAACCCCCTGATTGGCCCTGCTCTGTGCGTAACAGGGGGTGGCGCTGCATCCACCCCATCGACCCTGCCTTGAGTGTGACAGGGGGCGGTGCCCCAACCCCCCAATTGGCCCTACCCTGAGCGTGACTGAGGGTGGCATCACAACCTCCCAACCCGCCCTGCTCTGTGCATGACAGGGGGCAGCGCCCCAACTCCCCAATTGGCCCTGCTCTGAGCCCGACCAGGGGCTGCACCTAGGGATTGGGCCTGCCCTCTGCCACCCAGGAGCAGGCCTAAGCCAGCAGGTCGTTATCTCCCGAGGGGTCCCAGACTTCGAGAGGGCACAGGCCGGGCTGAGGGACACCCCCCCCCCACCCCCACCCCCGAAAATTTGTGCACCGGGCCTCTAGTAGAATATAAAATGACAAAATATTTTCTTTCCTTAGACCTGTTCTCCCAAGATGGATGAACTCTGATGTCCAGCACAATGGATCATTGTCTGCTTTTCTACCACCCACGTGCCTCACATATTTCTATGTCCCAACCATCCTCATGAACACTGGCTTGGGTAATGCATTACCAAAATTCCTCTGCTTCGCTGCTCTTGGCATTGGGCAACCCCGTTTTCTCTGCTCCTTCCTCCTTCTCCTTTGTTTTCAGGCTCACCCACTATTGGTAGTTTCCAGGCACAGCCAGCGGCCTGTGCTTTCATGCTCTGTGCCTTTACACAGGTTCCTTCTGCCTTGAATTCCCTCCTGGGCTTATCTGCTGACTTGCTCTCCAGAGTCAGTTGCTGTATGTCCCCTGCCCTGGGAAGCCTCTCTCCAGACTCAGGCAGAGTTGGGGACACAACCTGTGCCTCCACCTGTACCTGGGCAACATCACCTGGAGCAAAGATTCCATGGGCTACACATGAAGGTTAGCAGTCGTTTCATCTCAGCATACTGCACAGCATGTGAAACATAGCAGGTGTTCAAGACACGTTAGAGCAGTGGTTCTCAACCTTGGCTGCACATTAGAATCACCTGGGAATCTTTTTAAAATCCTGATTTCTGGACCTCATCCTCCGGAAATTCTGTTTCTTTGTTATGGGGTGGGGCCACAGCATTAGTAACAAAGAAACAGAATTTCCGGAGGATGAGGCCCAGAAATCAGGATTTTAAAAAGATTCCCAGGTGATTCTAATGTGCAGCCAAGGTCGAGAACCACTGCGTTAGAGTAAACAAAAATAAACAACGTTCACAATCTGCTTCCCGCTGCCGCAACTGCGATATCCCTTGTCCCCTCCTCTGGTTTTGCTGCATTCTCTCTGGTCTCACCCCATTGCCCCACTTTAGCTCATTTCTCTATGTTTCTCACCAGTCAATGGCCTCCTAACGGATCTCCACACAGTCCTCAGCTCCCCTTTCATCTCCTGCTGCTTCTCTCCCATCACCACATTGTTGGGCACCAAGTGCCACATCTCAACTTTCAGTCTAATTCACCAAAGCTCTGAGCCGAGTCCTGAACATACAAACAATGGTCCTTACCCTCAATGGGACAACTGCCTGCCTCTCCTGCCCTCCTCCACCCACTACCTAAGGTACAGGTAGGGATTGAACTAAATCACACAGCCCCTTAAACCCTTTAGTGGCCCCCTCACCTCAAAATGCAAAGTCCAGAGCCAGGTGGCTCCTCTGCACCCTACTCCTTGCTAGGTCCCCACCTTCACCTCCCCTTACACGTCCCACACTGTGAGCTCCAGCCCCAGGCTTTACCCAAGATTCTCTGGGTCTGCAATAACTTTACTTGTGGTTCTGGAGCACTGCTTTCAAGTCTGGGTGAGAGGCCCCTCCTTTTAACATCCCCCCCCCCCCCCCATTTCTCTCTCTCTCTCTCTCTCTCTCTCTCTCTCTCTCTCTCTCTCTCTCTCTCAGCACTCTGATCCCCTTGTCCGGCTGCCTGAATCCCTCCCCAAGTGGACTCAGAGCTCCTGGAGGTCAAAAACAGGACCAGCTCCTTCCTGTTCCTAATAATAGGCCCTCATAAGTAGAGAGTGAAAAGTGTTTTGAATGAATAAGTTAATGAGACTAACTTGCAGTGAAAATAAACAACTAAATAAGAGTTACGAAATGCTAACACTGGCTTTTCCTGGCGGGTGAACTGTTTGCTTGTTGATATTGTCTGATGTTTCTGTAATGAGTGGGTCTTACTTTTGCAATACTAAAAAAAAAAGAAGAAGAACACTAAAGGGAACTTCATTTTGATAAAAAAAAAAAAATAACAAGGGGTTTGAGGATTGAAGACTTCAAAAGAAGGAGGAATCTACTCTTTTGGGTTAGAAACTAGAAAGAAATGTTTAAGAAGCCATGGAATTTCTACAAGTGAAGAGGGGAGGAACCGCCTGCCCGAAGGTGCACGCAGAGCTGGGTGCAGGTGTGGGTGCCAGGTGGCGCAGAGTGTTCCTTTACAGATGCAAGATGAGAAATTTCAACTTCCGTCATTGAATGGAGGGAGGCAGACGGCTTCTGAGCAGAGGAGAAACATGCTCCGCACTCCGCATCCGGAGCAGTAAAGAGCTAGCACTGGGCAAAGTCCTAAGGGCAAGGGCGAGGGTGCTGTGGAGTGGAGGCCAGAGCAGAAGCCCAGCTACAACTCTCTCTTCCCCTCTGGGGGAACCAAACCGCAAGTCCAGGAAGCGCCCCCGGACTGCCCGGTCCTCTCGCTGCCTTACTACTCTTCGGTGACGGGCATTTGAGAATTACTCCCATAAACCGCCGACCTATCTTCCCACCTGGACGACAGCGCTTCTAACTCCTCCTGCTCCACAAGAGGTGCCAAATCCGAGTGTGCTCAACGAGGGAAGGTTCTCAAGGAGACATAACGCCTGGCAGCTCCGCTTCAAACCGAGGCCGAAGCCAGCAGTGCCCTCACCGTGCGGACAGCCGGCCTCGGGGGACGGGACTCTACCCCGACGACCTGACCGGGGGAAGGTCTCCCAAAGTAGAGGCTCCCGCGGGCAGGCCGGACTCTACAAGGCGAGGTGAGGCTCCCATATAACTCAGGTAGAAGCAGCAGGGCCTGGGGGTCCCGGGAGGTGGGAGGGAGGAGGGGGGAGCGGGCTGAGCCGGAGCCCATGCGGGGGAAGCGGGAAGGGCGGGTCTGGGGGACTGTTGGGGCCCGCATCCCCGGAACCTGGGCGGGGGCGGGCCTTGGGGCGGGGGCGGGGCAGGTGGGGCCGGGCGGGGCCGGGCGGGGCGGGGTCCACGGCACATGCGCACCGCGGCGGCCGCGCGCTGTAAGGAGTGGTACTTTTTAAAAGTGCAGCCCGGAGGCCAGCCCGCAGCCGCCAGCTCTTCGCTCCGGACCTGGTCCTGCTCGTTCCGGCCGCGCGCCCCCGTCCCAGACCAGTGCAGCCCAGGCCCGTGCAGCCCTCGCCATGCCGGTCAAAGGAGGCACCAAGTGCATCAAATACCTGCTCTTCGGCTTTAATTTCGTCTTCTGGGTGAGTGAGCGGGACAGCCGCGCGCGCCTCTCCGGGGGTATCTGTCTGCCCCCCGGATCCTCTCCGTGGTCGAGGGTGTCGGTAACTGGCACTGCCCGTCGGGTAGGCTCGAGGCAGAGGAGAAAGGGTCCTGCGGCCACCAGCTGTCTGCTCGGCGGAGTCCGGAGACGGGCGGGGCGGGCGCGTTCGTTGGGGGCTCTCCGAAGCCGGGCAGGCGAGGGGACGCGGGGGCCCCGGTGAGCTGGGCCTCTCCTTCGCCAAGGGCGTGGGCTGGGGTGTGTGTCTGCCCCTCCGAGTTTAGGGGGTGGGGAGAAACAGAGCACCCCTTTCCTGGGAACTCAAGACCGGGGCCAAAGAAGACCTGGGCGGGCAGCGCAGTTCGCGCCCGGGGTGGGGGTCTCACAAGTCGCAGAGCCGCGAGCGGGGAGGACGCGGGCGCTCAAGGGTCTCAGGTGGCGCCGGACGCTCCGCCGAGGGCTGTGGGCACTTCTACCCGCGGGAGGGGGGGCGCGCGGCCGTCGGTGGCCCGGACCCCGTCCCAAAGTTGGAGTCCGGACCACCCCCTCCACCCTCGGAAGAGGAACCTTCGGCCGCCCTCCGCCCTCCACCCCCCCCCCCGAAACACACACACACACACACACACACACACACACACACACAACCATTCTCAAACTTTGGTTCTGAGCCGCCGTGAGAAAGGCCAGGCTCCCTCCAAACTACCTGAAAGACTAGCTTGTCTTGATTTTTTTTTTTTTTCAAAGGTTTGATAAGTATCTGACTGGGGAGAATTCTGGGAGAGTTGGGGAGGGGTGGGGCAGAGGCCCTCGGGCACTTTTAGTGGGATGAGCCTCTGTTGAGTCTTGAGTATCTCCATTTCCGGGAGAGATCAGGTGCTGGCCCCAGGGTCTCCGCCTTGTGTCCCCACCCCCCACCCCGTTCTCCCCTCCCCAGGCCCCTGGGCGGCCAGGTGGAGCCTCCGGGAGCGCACCTCCACCCGGACTGTCCGCTCCATGGCTCCTGCGCTGGCTGCCCTCGGGGAAGCCTGAGGGAGGCAACGGAAAAGGGGAGTGTCCCCTCCACACCTCCCCTTGGGGGATCAAGGAACCACCCAGAGATCTAAGGGGGCGGGGCGGGGGGGAGGGGGAGAATAGGTTCTGAGGGCCACATCCCCTGCACACAGATGGACAGTATTTGCTCCTCTGCCGCCAGGAGTTTCCAGCGCCACTCTCAATAGAGATGTCTGTGAATACAGGGGCGTGCCACTCGAGGCTTGTCGCAAAACAACATGTACTTACTCCCCTGGAGCTGGCCACCGGGCTCCCCATGAACCGGGGCAAATCTCCTGAGATTTAATCCTCTCTGTGGAGCTGACCAGATAAGAGACTGAACTGTCCTTGCAAGAGTCACCACATCTGCCCAACCTTTGAACCAGGAGGTCTCAGTTCCATTCCCCGGCAGGGCACATGCCCCGGGGGTTGGGAGTTCAGATCCCCAGTAGGGGGCGTGCAGGAGGCAGCCGATGAATGATTCTCTCTCATCATTGTTGTTTCTGTCTCTCCCTCCCTCGCCCTTCCTCTCTGAAATCAATAAAAATGTATTTTCAAGTCACCACATCCAACACATGCCCTAGTGTGGATGGCACATAGGTGTGCCCCTGCCAACCTTGGCCGTCAAGGAGACCCTCCTGCGGTGGGCACCTCCCCTTCTTGGTGTTCCCAGCAGCCAGCCTGCTAGCTGCCAGGCTTGGCTCCCTCCTCTCACCAACTCCTGGCACCAAAAAAGAATGTCAGAAGGCGGGCCGGCCCTGCCCCACCCTTGTCCTTTAGGGAGTTTTCCTCTCCGCTCCCTAGCACAGTCACTCCCCTTCCAGTCTGCTGGTTCGTCCTCAGCCACCTGCCTAGGCTGCATCAGGGTTTGGGGTTGTGGGGGACCACTGACTACGTGTGCCTCCGCACCCCCTGTGCACATACAGGAGCCGGATGGGGGGCTCCCAGGGCCACTTGTATCTGCTCAGCCTCTTTCTGTCTCCAGCCTGCCACCCCACCCATATTCAGAGCTGCCCCTGCCTGGGCAGCTATGTCCTCTGAAACAGAAATGACTCGCTCTGGTAATGTGTGGGTTTAGAATTAGGAATAACTTTAGAGATTATCCAGACCAGCCCTCTTATTCACAGTGAGAAAGCAGGGAACCCGAGAGGGGGTGATTTGCCCAGGACCACAGAGACAACCAATACTATAATCCCTGGGCCCCTCCCTCTAGTCCAGTGGTTCTCAATCTTCTTCATAACTGTAATGTTGCTACTGTTATGAATTGTAATGTAAATATCTGATATGCAGGATGGTCTTAGGCAACCCCTGTGAAAGGGTCGTTCAACGGCCAAAGGGGTCGCGACCCACAGGTTGAGAACCTCTGCTAGTCCTTCCGTCTCCATCACAAAGCCAACGAGGGGGACCTGGTAATAGGCTGGTGGGGAGGGAGGGGGCGGGTTCAGGATTCGCTGTGTTTTTCTGAATTTATTGTTTAGTAGTATCGAGGTCCCTGTAGAGATGAAGTCCTCATCCCCTAGGAGCTGATGGAACAAAGGAACACTGCGATGCACTTGTGAAGCACTTTGTAGTCTCTAAGTTCCAGCCGTCCTTGTACAGCAGGAGCAGGAAGCATTATCCCCATTTTACTGATGGGCAGATGGGCAGGAGACTGGCCCCCAGAGAGGTTAAGTGACTTATCCAGGGTCATGGGCAGGATAGTGTCAGAACGCAGTTTGAAAGCAGATCTGATTGGCTTCAGGTCCAATGCATTTGCCACCCCAACCTTCCATACCCAACCAAGTGGGAATGGAAGAAGGGTGGCAACAAGCTCTTAGACATCTTTTAAGGGAACCTGTGGTATAAGGGAGCTGCTTGGATTGTTATGATGTCAGCACTTTCCTTTCTCTCTTGAGCGAAGGAATTTATAAACGTGGAATTGGGAACCTGATGTGGGCCTTGGAAAGCGGGAGTTGAGGCCAGGGTGCCACCAGCACCTCCTGAACAGAGGATGCTGAGGAAGGTGGTCTAGCAGGGGTCCAGAGAGAAGAAGCCCACCTCAGTGGCAGTGGGATGATCGGAGCGGGGTAGGCATGTGGGGGTGCCTCTTCCCTGGCCCCCACTTTCATCCCTGTGGGACCCTCAGTGACTGCCTGCACTGCCAGCCCTCCCCCAAGCGGGGCCTACAGGCCAAGCAGCAATCGGTCTGTTCTTCCAGTGCCCCCGGAATCCTAACTTCCCAGCTCTATTCCAGTTGTTTCTCCATTTCCTTCAGACCTCCCTGTCTACCCATCCCTCAAAAAAGGTTGCAAGGGAAAGCATGTTACTGTGAGAGTGGTGAACTCTCAAGCTGTAAGCGGGGAACCAAGGCTAGGGTCAGGCCAGGAACCTGTCTTCCTGGTCTATTCCCCGCCCTCCCCCCAAATCCTAAGCCTGCATTTAGAGGGCTCAGTACCCACCCCACACCTCCCTCTGCCCCTTTATTCACTGCCTTTCACCTCTTACCCACCCTCACTGATGGGACTAGCCAGGGACTTGTCTTTCCCAAGAAATGGTGCTGCCTTGGACCTAACAGAGGCTTCTTAGAAGCATGAGCAGAGACCCGGATGGAAATTCAGAGATTGGGCATTAGTCCAGCTGTGTCCCCCACACACTTTGAAGTCTTGGGCAGGTCACTTTTGTGCTCCAGGCCCCAGTTTCCTCATCTGTAAAACCAGTGGGTTGGAGCAAATGGTCTCAAGCTCAGTCTGTGAAACCAACCCCTTCCCCGCTGCCTAAAGCAAGAGGACTTTCCCACACAACCCCAAGTGGAGTCAGGCAGGGGGAGGTACTGTGAGTACTGTGGCTTGTCCTCAGAGCCGGGGACCTTTACCTCTGGGGCCTGCTTCTTACGTGTCTTTCCTGTTAACCCCGCAGTTCTCTCTGCTCCCCCTGCCTGGGGTCTCTCTGTTTGGGGTTCTCTGTTTCCGTCGTCCTCAGCCATTGTGGTAGTACAGGCTAGCAGTCAGAGCACCAGCTCTGGATTGGATTTACCCATCACCAGATGGAGCTGGAGCCTGCCCCATGGGGGAAGGGTGAAATAAGAGAATGTGTGTGATGCTCTTAGCACTTGAGGCAGAGTAAACTTCCTGTAGCTATTGTTGCTCACAGTGGAAAGTAGATCTAGGCGATGAGGAAGGTGGGAGCAATTTCCTAAAAAGTGTGAAAGAGCAGACCACAGGTTAGCCCGGAGCACACTTCTGCCCTCTCTGGATTGGGCGCTGACTCCATTTCATGTGTGGCTATGCGTTTGAGAGGGTGGGGAGGTGGAGGGTGGGGGTGCCCCACTTCTGAAAATAAAACCGGAGGCCGAGACTCTGGGTCTAGGCAGGGTGTGGACTAGTGGGCTCGGGGGCGGCAAAGCCCCTCCCAACCAACCTGCCGCTTTTCCCAGAAACTGTTGCCTTCGTTGTTGGGCTGAACCAGCTGCTGGGGCGGTGAAGTGAAATGGCTTCCTGAGTTTGGCACCCGGACAGCCCAGCTCTGGGAAAGCCGGCTGTGTTTGTACTGAGGCTGGCAGCTTTGGGGAGAGGTGAGGTGAGGCCAGGTGTCTGCATCTGCTAAAGAAAATCAGACTTCTGCCCAGCCCAGGATCTTGATGGCTTCCCCCACTTTTTCACAATGCTTGTGAACAACAAAAGAATCTGACTCCTGATTTTTAGGGGGTCGGTGGGGAGGATTCCTCTACACATACACACTCTACCCCTTTCTTTCCCAAGTGGCCCACGGGCACCGTTCCAGACCTTACTCTTTTGTACTCAAAGGAGGCGGCCGCTATTTAAGACCCGAATTTGGAGCTGCTTTGAGAGTAGCCCTGTTGAGGGCCACCCTTGCCAGAGCACCTATCTGCAGTGGACTCCTCTGCGGTCACAGACCACAGTTCAGGCTTCTCACATCCTCCTGTGTGTGGATTGTGAGTCTTCCCTCTTATACACA